CGCGGGCCCCTGGGGGAGAGGGCTTCCGCTGATGAAAACGCGTCCCCGGCCCCTGCGTGTGAGTCCTGTGTGTGCGGCTCCGGGGCTTCTGGGCGGTGGTCAGGTGACGGCCGGGCCTCCTGCGGGGAGAGGGCTTCCGGGCCTGAAAACGCGTCCCCGGCCCCTGCGTGTGAGTCCTGTGTGTGCGGCTCCGGGGCTTCTGGGCGGTGGTCAGGTGACGGCCTGCGGGCCTCCTGGGGGTGGCTCTGGGGGTGTGAGCCCCCTCGGGCGTGTGTCCCGGTTCCCTCGGATGTGGGCCCCCTGGATGTGGGTCCCCTGGATGTGGGTCCCCCTGGGATGTGTCGCCCCTCCGATGTGGGTCCCCCTCGGGTGTAGGTCCCCCCTCGGATGTGGGTCCCCTGGATGTGAGTCCCCTGGGATGTGGGTCCCCTGGGATGTGGGTCCCCTGGGATGTGAGTCCCCTTGGATGTGGGTCCCCTGGGATGTGGGCCCCCTGGGATGTGGGTCCCCTGGATGTGGGCCCCCTGGGATGTGCCTGCCCTGGGGAGAGCCGTATTCAGGCGGCCCTGCCAGGTGCCTGTGATGTGGGGGGTTGTCAGTCTAATGAACAGGTCACAGAGGTTCCTGCAGCCCCCAACCCCACCCCTCACCCCCAGGAAAGGGTCCTTGCAAGGGGGCAGCTGTAAAGTTTCAGCCCCTGGGTTTGAAACACTGAGTGAAATACTGAGACAACAGGCGTTGGTATGTTTTGGGAGGGACCCAACATTCTCGGCCAGACGCGTATGAACCCCTAGTTACCTGTCTGTTTTAAACGTGTGGAGTCTGTTACCCGCCTGCCCACCCCCAGCGAGGAAGCTGTCATAGCCGGTTTGACGGCCGCCCGGCCCGACAGTGCCTCTCACTGTGGACTCGAGAAGTGTAGGGGTGTCTGCCCGCCGCTCACCGACGCCTGGAGGGGAGGGTGACGCAGGGGTGGGCTGGTCTCGCTCGCAGAGCTGAGGTTAGGAACTCGCCCCTTTTCCCCAGAGCTGTGTCCACATCCAAGGGCTTGCTCGGCTTCCTCGTCCTTGTGGTTCTGGCACTTGGGTAGGTCTCTCCCACGCGGGTGTGTTGGGTGCCACGGCTTGGAGCGGTCAGTGCAATCCACGTCGGCCTCGACTCTGGCTCCTGCAGAACCATCGCTGGCGTTTACTGCGGGAGTTTACAGTAAAATAGAAAGTACCTGTTGGGTTCCCAACACCTTGGCTCCTTAGTAGGAACAGCGGAGGCCTGCGGAGTGCGTGAGGACAGGTGATGGTGATGGCGGTGGCCCTGCGCATCCTTTGTCAGTGACGATAACCACAGTCACGGGCAAAGCCGTGGCCCTGATGCTTTGCTGGAATTTACAAGAATAGCGTCAGTTTAGGCTCGGAGTCTCTTCTCTCTTTCCTTTTGTTTATTCTGTGAGATGGGATTGACCCGTCAGGCATGCCTTTCTGGCCGGTCTCCTTTGCGCGTTGGTATAACAAGGCCCGGCCGCATGACGACCGTACGTGACTGTCTCTTCTCCTGTTTGTCTAACAAGCACCATGGACCAGGTCATGCAGTTCGTTGAGCCAAGTCGGCAGTTTGTGAAGGATTCCATCCGGCTGGTCAAGAGATGCACCAAACCCGACAGAAAAGGTAAAGCTTGAAAGTGAGAGGAAAAGGTCAATCCCTGCATTTTCTAAGCCTTGTACTTGATTACTATTGTCCTCCTTAATAGCCATTGAGTTACTGTCTTTTAATCCACATTTTTTATTTATTTTGCTTTATTTTTTAACAGTCACTTTCTATATTTTGTATACTTTATACATGATTCTGTTTTATTTATTTTCAAATGGTGTAAGAGTATTTATTACAGCCTTATTTTCATGTTAAGTTTGCCTTAGTCATATTTAATGACTTCAGAGTTTTTAGTATGTTCTATATTTTCACTCTAGAAAGTCTTCTGGGAGTCCTCATGCTCAGTACTGCCCCCTTCTCTCCCCCAAACAGAACCCTAACGGGAATCAACAACAGAGTTGCCAACCTAGGAAGTTTAATTTCTTATTTATCATGGTTCATGTGTTAAAAGGTGCACCAGAGTTTGTCTACTTTTATCCATTTCTTGACTGCTGCCTGCGCTAGGAGCTGGAATACAATAGAGAATGTAATACATTATGATATACATATATATAGTAAACTATACAACAGTATTTAATAGAGAACAATCCTTGCTCTTACGGGGCGTAGACCTTTTCAGAGAAGGTAGACCTAAGCAAACAAATGCAGTTCAGTTTCTAATTACTGCTGTCGGAAGGGTATGGAAAAGAAATAGAAGAATCTGGACAGCTTCCCCGAGGAAATAACGTGAAATGGAAACAGTACTGGGGTCTGAAACCTTTACAGAAAATTGTGCTCAACCCGATCTGATTTTCAGCCTTGTGTATCAAATCCAGTGGGCCTATATTTTATGAAAAGTCATGTTTTGTGCTTTTATAATCTATTTTTAGCAATGTTAGAAGTTTTTAAAGACAAATACTCTATTTCTTCTATCCACATTTTATTTCTTTTTGGCATCCTGGTCATTTGCTGAGAAGATAAAATATTTCACTGCTTGTTGATGGATTCACTAGTGGCATATCCTTTATTTCTTTCTTAAAACATTGTCAGTTTACTTACTATTAATAAATAGTGTCATACTTTATTTAAAATTATATATTTATTATCAGGAGAAATGTTCACCGGTAAGTTTATGTTACTGCTAGTTCCCCCCCCCCTTATACTTGCAGTGATACTGTGAAAATGATGAATTTTGTGTTTTTAATCCAGAATTCCAGAAGATTGCCATGGCGACAGCAATCGGATTTGCTATAATGGGTTTCATTGGCTTTTTTGTGAAATTGATCCATATCCCTATTAATAACATCATTGTGTAAGTAAACTTTTTGAAATAGACAATATCTAGAATAGAATGAAAATTGAAACCATTTGAGATGACAGTTTGCTATTTCATCAATGCGCAGATATGTCTCTTGACTTTTTAACGCTGCTGGGATCTGCTGGTATTTATTAGGCACCTGATAGTGGGAAGTGGCTTTGTTTTCAGATGATTAAGCCAGGGGTTTGGGTGCCTGGGAAACTGCGTGGTTGAGAACCATGGCTAGTCTGAGCTCTCTACGTATTTGCAGCCAGCGTGTTATCTATCAAACTGGGCACTTCTCCGCGGCCACCCTGATAGGCAGTTCATGTTTTCTGTCTTGTTCAGAAAGACATTTCCCAAGTGAGGACTCTGAGTTTTTGAGATCCGTCTGTTCCGGCAGCCACTTTATCTCCAAGGACGTTTTCAGTCCAAGACTTTAGAGTTCAGTTTCTTCTCTGTTATGCGGTCTTGGGTCCTGTAGGTGTGTGTAGCTCTCAGTGAACTGGTTTTGGTGCCATCACATCACAGCATACTGCCTTTCAGGTCGTTATTGTTGTTAAAAGCTGACGAACACGCAGAGCTGACCCTTTTTCTCTCTTTGCAGCGGTGGCTGAAGGCCTGTGCATGAGGGGTTCATCTTGGGGATTGGTGGACAGTGCCGATTTGAGAAGCTCATGGAGTAAAAAAAATTGCCTGCATGTTTTGTGTTCTTTCTTTTTTTTTCCAAGATGTTTTCGTTTCTAAATTAAAATAATTTCAATATAAATAAACTTCGCTGTTTTCTATCATAGATATTTACAAATTGTTGAAATGTGTTAAGAATCTGAGGTCTGCTCTCAGTTGTAAGGGGTGTAAGACCCCAGGCAGTCCTTCCTCCCCCAGGAATTGAAGTTTTAAAGTAAAACAGCTGGACTCAGACATTAAAAATAGATTTTCCTTTAGTTCTTCCTGGCTATTTTAGAATTCACTTTCTGGTTTCCCACATTTCCTCCCAAAAGGCTCCTTTGAGCGGTAGTAACTAGCATTTAGACGGGGTTGGTGAGGAAGATCCACGCTCTCAGACAGGTCTGTCAGACTACTGGCCCCTGTGCAGGTCCTCTGTTCACGCCCCTTCCTCACACCGCGCACCGCCGTCCGTGAAAGGGGTTTCCCAGCACCAGTCACACACAGGTGTTTGCGTTTGAGGCCACAGGTCGAGTATCCTGACTCGCAGGCAGCTGTTTCTCTTCAGGAGGGGGTGCACTCTTTTAGGTTCAATTGGCCTTTGTTATCAATGTCAGCGGTCGCCAACCTTTCGGACCTCATGGACCACCAGTGGTCCCCAACCACTGATCTGTGTAACCTAGGACCTGAGCGCCCAATTATAGACTCAGAATTTAGAGGAACGGGCTCCAAGTTCCTTAGACAAAGCAATAGATTTTTATAGAATTGGCTTTTATTTAACATGTCATTTTCAGAAAAATTTCCAGAAAAAACCCCTAATGCCAGTGACATATCAAAAGTATAAAACGAGCCCAAATAGTCTTCTCAGGTGAGGGGAGTTGGTTTTCTTCACAGCTGTTCTGAGTAACCAGGCCTAAGCCCTCACGGCCCACGGCTGGGTTAGATTCTGTCGCTCTGTCCCGCACCGTTTGGAGGCGCTTATGTTTCCAGCAGTTCTGGGATTCGGGGATTCCTTCAGCACTTTCATCCCTTCACGCCTGCTCCAAGGGTTTGTCCTGGAGTTTCAATAAGCATCGCCACGCCGGGTGTCCCAGAGTTCTCCAACTCTGTACCCACCAGGAAGCATCTATTAAAAGCTGAAAACACGACCTTGCCATTGTTTTGAATAGCATTGCAAAGAAACCCAGTAGCACACAGTTACACAAAATGTGTGCCTGCAATTATTTTGGGTCCACAACCTATAAATAATAAAGTTACGCAAGTTCTCGAAACACTTCGGAATCCCATGAATCCCAGAGCCCACTTCAAACTTGAACTTGCAGCTCACTGTCCAAAGAGGGGTGCACGTGTATCAGCTCAGGTCCGCGGCTGGAACGGCTTAAAATGCATTCACTTTCTGCCCGTTTCCTCAACGCATTTTTGCTGAATTTAACAAGGCGAAGTGGGACACAATAGAGAAATGTGAAAGTATCTTTGGCTCTGAGGCCCACTCCTGATGCCTGAGTGGATTGGGTTTGAATTGAATAAACTGGGTGTGAATCAGTGTCCTGAAGTGTCTGTTACCTGCGAGAGGTGAATTGATGGACTGTGAGGCGGGCAAAGCAGCGTGAAGCTGCCATCATGGAAGGGGGTGCGTGTTATAACATACCTCCTATTACTGCATGGGTCCTACTGTCCGCCCGCCGGGGCGTTTCAGCAGCATCGCAGCGGGAAGGACAGGAAGTTGTGTGAGGCTCTCGGAGGGAGGGTTTTCCCTGCTTCTGAGGATGGATAAACGGACTGGATGTCGGCTTTTCTTTCATGGTTCAGAAGGTGGGAAAGAACAGCTGTTAGAAGAAGAGGTGACTTATTCATGGATTCTTATTTCTGATGCAAAAGAAACAAAATTCCTAAGCAGCTCTTGGGCCAAAGAGGAAATTAAGGAACAATCATAGTTTACTGAGGAAGTGGAAGTAATGAAAAGGCTATATAAAAACTTACGGGACTTGGTCAAATTCTGAAACCTAAAGTGTTTTTTTGGGGGGGGTTTTAAAAGATTTGATTATTTTTAAAAATATTTTTAAAAATTTATTTTAGAGAGAAAGGGACAGGGGAGAGAGAAACATCCATCAGCTGCCTCCTGCATGCCCCCGACTGGGGATGGAGCCCGCAACCTGGGCATGTGCCCTGACTGGGAGTGGAACCGGTGACTTCTTGGTGCAGGGGACGATGCTCAATCAACTGAGCCACATCGGCCAGGAGACTTTATTATTATTATTTTAAAAAAATATATTTTATTGATTTCAGAGATGAAGGGAGAGGGAGAGTTACATCAGCGATGAGCGAGAATCATTGATCGGCTGCCTCCTGCACGCCCTCTACTGGGGAATCGAGCCCGAAACCCAGGCAGGTGCCCTTGACTGGAATCGAACCCGGGACCCTTCAGTCCGCAGGCCAATGTTCTATCCACTGAGCCAAACCAGCTAGAGCAGACTTTATTATTTTTAAAGCAATTTTAGGCTCACAGAAAAATTGAGAAGAAGGTACAGACATTTCCCATATATCCTCACCCCTCACACATTATCAACATCTCCCACCAGAGTGCTACAGTTGTCACAGTTGATAAGCCTACATTGACATGTCATTGTCATCCCAAATCTATAACTTACCTTAGAGTCACTCTTGGTGTTGGACATTGTATGGTTTTGACAAACTTATGATGAGATACATCCACCGCTATAATACACAGAATGATTTCACTGCCCTCACAGGTATGGGCCGTAAACACATCTGCGTAGTCAGACTCACATAAGCCATGTTAGCAGGCATTGCAGTGACCCCTGCGGGGAGCGATCTCGTGCCCAAGAAGCGCGTGGTCTCCTAGCCTCAGGGCTGCTGGCAGAGAGGACCTAGCAGGCAAATGGGCAGGTCAGATGGCCGAGCGTCTGGGTACAGTCAGTCCCACCCAGTGGGCGCGGTGGTGGTGGTGGTGGTGGTGGTGGGTGGTGATGG